AGAGAGGAAGAGAGAAGGATAGAAAGTTAGAAACATCAATGAGAGAGAATCATCCATCAGCTGCCTCTTGCACACCCCCTACTGGGGATGTGCCCACAACCAAGGTACATGCCCTTGACCGGATTCGAACCCGGGACCCTTCAGTCTGCAGGCCGACGCTCTATCCACTGAGCCAAACCAGTTTCGGCTAATCAACGTTTTTCTAATGCTTCCAGTCCTTTAAACTTTCCTGGTCTTGATTTTCTTTCTCATCAACATCTCTGCATGGGCCTGGGCCTCCACCAGGATCTTAATCTGTGGGGTGCATAGATTCCTTCACTTATCAGTCGGCTGTAAGGGTGCCTGTGAAAGGAAAGTACCTCCACTTCATTTCCAGCTAGGCTAAGAGCTGCCCTCAAGTTGTAGATCCCTCAGGTGCACTGAGGTTGCTATGCAAGTTACTGTCTTAACTTAACAAGTCCCTGCTTCCTGTCCAGCATCAACAACTGGAAGAAGTTGGTATTTTCACTCACATTTTATATAGAAAGATCTAGGTGTCCAGTGATGTGCCAAAGGTCCCCTTATGTCATCCCAAATTGAACAAAATCAACACTGGACAGACAAGAATGTGGGTGGAAACTCTATGCCATTTACCTCTGGCTTCAGTCATGTTGCACTTGAAAATAATCTTTAAAAGTTCTGTTTGTACTGCCGTTCCAACTATTTTTGCATAATTGATTAGGCAGAATTTGTACAGTCTGAATCAAGTGCTTTGAAGCATCAAAGTGCTCCACAATATTCTTTTCTATTGTGTAGGCAAAGGTCAGAGTCACTCATATTTCCAATGTTGTTCTAAATTTTTAAAAATCTTGCAGTCCAGAGAATTCACTCTAAAAAAAGTGATATTTGTATCTTATAATATTGTCAACATTTAAAAATTGTTGACATTGGCTCAGATTTATTTCTTCTGACATTTGTGGGATATTGAAGGTGGCAAACAATTGTGAATTTAAAAGCTTGATTTGGTTTTGCTTCTCAGTTTTATAAATAAGTGCAAATGACCAACAATGATTTTCTCTTCTCTCCCAAAATGTTTCTAGTCCATGAAGTTCTCAAAAAGTTTATTAATTGTAATCCACATTAAGGATTAAGTTCATAGAAAAAGAAAATACAATAGTTTAAATAATTCCTGGAATGTCTGGAATTTGTTGAGATGAGTAACAACAAGTCTGTATACGTTTGCAAGAGAAGGTCAGATTAAATTTTTCTTTATTACAGTGGTTCTTAAAGTGTGGTCTGAGGACCTGCAGCATCTGTGTCACCTGGGAACTTTTTAGAAATACAAATTCTTAGCCTGAACTCAGACCTACTGAGTGGAATGAGGGGAGAAACAGAAATCTGTTTTGACAGAGCCCTCTGGAACAAAGGAGGACATTTTTTAATCCCAGACATGAAATTTTAGACACATCATCTATCTTCTGGTGCCATCACTATATTATCTGGTTAATAACTAATCCCTTACCCAGCCTTCTTAGTATTGTAAATACTACCTAAGTCCATGGTCAGCAACCACATGCGGCTCTTTGGCCCCTTGAGTGTGGATCTTCCACAAAATACCATGGCCTGGGTGAGTCTATTTTGAAAAAGTGGCGTTAGAAGAAGTTTAAGTTTAAAAAATTTGGCTCTCAAAAGAAATTTCAATAGTTGTACTCTTGATATTTGGCTCTGTTGACTAGTGAGTTTACCAACCACTGACCTAAGTTATTCTGATTCACTTGTTATATTGGCAGTCTTCTCTCTCCAAGTGATTTGGATACATGCTTAATTTTGAGAACTATTCTATATAATAAAAGGCTAGTATGCAAATTGTCCCCTCAGGAGTTTGACCAACTAGGAATTTGATTGCTTGGTATGATGTGTGCTGACCACCAGAGGGCAGCATGGCACAAAGGAAGGCTCCAGCTGGCAGCCAGCAACTGGGGGAAGGAAGGCCCCATTCGGCCCTGATAACTGGCCACGCCTAGGGACGCTAACTGTGCATGTATTTCGTGCACTGGGCCTCTAGGTGGCTTATAAGTTGTAATATACTGGAAACACACCAGCAACATAACCTGAGGGGCCCAGTGCAAAATGAAAATGCAGCATCCCTTGTTTAAAAATTAACAATTTCAAGATGGTGACAGCAGAGCATTAAACAAGGAAGGAAGGAGCCCTACTAAGCACAGGCCAATGCCTGTGCAGGTTAAAACCCAAAGAGGAGTTTCTACTTGTATCCAACCACACTTGTTCTTCTCAGACAGAAATAATACAAAGCCATGAAATTGGCCACATTTCCCCCCAACCCCCAGACACCAATCTTAGCTTCTGAGTTGTCTCTCTCCATAGGCAGACCGTGATCATTTGCTTCCCTCCTCATCTTTGCTCGCTGTCGTCTGCCTTCCTTTCAGCTATGTAAGTGTATTTGTACTTCAAGACCCGACTTCAAGTCCTCGTCCTCCATGAAGTCTTCTCTTATCACCTTAATTCACTGACCTCTTGTCTTTCTAAACTTTTCAAGCACTTGTTTTATTCTGTAAATTTAGCTCTTATTTTAAAAATATTAATGATTGCTGATCATTGTGTTCATGTTGTTTCTTGAGTTAGAATATAAGCATCTTCAGCATCTATCCTAGATGTTGCAATCATCATACAATAGAAAAAGCACAGGCTTTTGAGGCCTGGGTGTAAATACCCTGTCTTATTTTACTAATGGTGATGGGATAAGTTAATTCACATTGAGCCTCAGAGACTTTATTTGGAAAATGAGCTAAGACTGACTTCATTGGGTATTGATGAGTATTAAATACGATAACATATGTAAAAAGCTGAGTCTGTATAAGGGCTCATCAAATATTAGTTTCTTTCTCAGGTGTATTATACCATATATCTGATTTGCTTCAGCAGACAGACCAGTGCTGAACACAAAGGTCTGTATGCAACAAACATTTGCTCATTGGAAACTGAATGCATTTTTTAGGTATTATTTTATGTGTATCCAGGAAGTAAGAAATCCTATGTTAAATGTAAAGTGTTATTAGCTAATTTTTAAAAAAGCATTTTCAAACCTACTATGTTATTAATAATACTTTACATGGGTAAAAATAGACCTATTCTTATTCCCAATGGGTAAGTGAGGAAGAATGGCACCAACAGATTAAGTGATTACTCTAAATTACAAGATATCAATGCAATTTAATATCCTCTAAAGCAGTGGTTCTCAATTATTTTCATTGCTACTTCATAACTGTAATTTTGCTACGGTTAATAAATCATAATGTAAATATCTCTGTTTTCCAATGGTCTTGGGCTCTACAGCAGTGGTTCTCTGTGGGTAGTGACAGAACCGATAGCAGGGTTGCCCAGTTATGAAGTAGCAACAAAAATAATTTTATGGTTGGGGGTCACCACAACATGAGGAACTGTATTAAAGGGTCAGAGCATTAGAAAAGTTGAGAGCCACTGCTCTAAAGTGTCCTTGAAGCTGGGTCTAAACTCAGATATGCTGACTCCTTGTCCATTTTTTCTCCCACTATAACTAAGCTATCTCCAGCAAATAAAAATATGTCTGTAAAATATGTGTGGAAACAATTATTTTAGTTGATTAAAATAGTGTGAGGAAGACTGTTTCTTATGTTGAACATATAGTGAATTAAATGTAGGGTGCCTATTGCAGATCTCGAGTCACATCAGTAAGTACAAGCTTAGGAATTTAGTGAGATATTTAAATTCCTCTTTTTGATAAACATATTTTAAAGGGCCTATTTTGAGTTTTAAAAGCAACAAGAAGAAAGCAGGGAACACCCATTCAATGGTAAGCTAATTTCTCAATAGAAACTGTGCAGGCCAGAAGGGAGTGACAAAAAATACTCAAGAGATAAATAGCAAGGACCTACAGCCAAGATTACTTTACCCAGCAAAGCTATCATTTAGAATTGAAGATCAGATAAAGAGCTTCCCAGACAAGAAAAAGCTAAAGGAGTTAATCACCACCAAAACAGTATTATAAGAAATGTTGAAGGGCATTATTGAGGAGGAGGAAGGGGAAGAGGAGGAGGAGGAGGAGGAGGAGGAGGAGGAGGAGGAGGAGGAGGAGGAGGAGGAGGAGGAAAAGGAGGAGGAGGAGGAGGAGGAGGAGGAAAAGGAGGAGGAGGAGAAGAAGGAGGAGGAGGAGGAGGAGGAGGAGAAGAAGAAGAAGAAGAAGAAGAAGAAGAAGAAGAAGAAGAAGAGAAAAATATGAACAATAAAAATGGCAATAAATACATATCTAACAACAATTGAACCCAAAAATCAAAGTAAACAAACAAAGAATCTAATGAACAGAATAAACTGATGAGTAAAATAGAACCAGAGGCATGGAAGCATGGAACAGACTGAGGAATCTCAGAGGGAAAGGGGCAGGAAGAAGTTAACCAAAGAATTTATATACATACAAGCATTACCTATGAATACAGAGAACAGGGTGGTGGAGGACTGGGGCAGGACAAGAAGCAGGTGGAGGGGGACAATGGTGGGGAAAAGAGGACTTCTGTAATACTCTCAACCATAAATATTTTAAAAAATAAAATAAAAAACAAAAAAAAAAAACCTTAAGAACAAGGTTTATTATTATTATTTTTTCTAGGTTTATTATTCAGACAGTTTCAATTTAGGGCCTAACACATCGTGCTTGAAAGTCGCTGTCCTCTCTCATCTGATTTATTACACTCTTTTCCTGCTAACTGGCTCAAAACACACCTGCCTCCCACCCTCAGCCACAGCCCAGGAACCGGTCCCGCGGGAAACTGCCAAACTGGTCCCTCCGCCAAAGGTCCGCTACGGTCAGGGCTCTGGTATAAAAGGCCAATGAGAAGGCAGCGCCCCCTTCTGCTCCCACCCCCCTCGGCTCCCCTCGTATCCAATCGCTTGTCTCTTTCGCGTAGCGGGTGCCCGGGATTGGCTGAGAACGGTGATCGGCGCGGGGACCAGGGGCGGGGCGTGGAGCCCTGTCCATCACGGGCGGCCGTGGGGGCCCCCCGTCCTCCTCGCTGCGCGCCCGGCGAGACGGGGGGCGGGGCCCGGACGGAGCTGCTGCGCCTGCGTCGTGGGCGTTCTCGGGGAGCAGCTGCCTCCGCCGCCGCCGCCGCCGCCGCCGCCGCGTTCGGGTGTAGAACCTGGAATCCCCGCGCCTCGTGAACAATGAAGCAGAGTTCGAACGTGCCCGCCTTCCTCAGCAAGCTGTGGACGCTGGTGGAGGAGGCCCACACCAACGAGTTCATCACCTGGAGCCAGGTACGGGGCCGGGGGGAGGGGGGGCGGCGGCCTCCGCTCCCCGGGCTCCCGCGGGGCGGCCCCTCGCGGCCTGCGTCTCAACGCCCCGTGCGAGGCCCGTGGGAAGGGGGGGCGCCTCGGCGTCCGGCCTCGGGGGGCCCCGTGTGTTATTGTTCGCGCGGGGAGTCACGGGGAGTCGCGGGGGTCCCGGCCGGCGCCGCGCGCCCAGGCCGCGGTGGGGGAGGGGCGGCCCGCGCGGGGCCGCGGCCTGGGCGGCCGCCTAACGGTCCCGGGGCCGGCGTTCGGACCCGGGCCTCCCGGCGCGGGGCCGGCGGAGGGGCCGGGGGCGGGGGGGGGGAGGGAGGGAGGGAGGGAAGGAGCCGCGTTCCTGCTCCATCAGCCGCGGTTCCGCCCGCCCGCCCGCCCCGGCCCCGCGCGGCGTGACCGACCGACCGACCGGGCTGCCCCGGCCACGGGCCCGGGCCGGCATCCCCCACGCCGCCGGGGTTCCGCGGAGAACCGGAGCGGGGTTCCGCGGAGAACTGGACCTCGGGGACCCGCGCGCGTCGCTTACACACGCACCCCCCCCCCCCCCCCCCCCCCAGGAACTGCATCTTTAGGAGGCGAGCAGCCGGGGAGGGGGCAGAGGTTCAAAGGCAGATTGCTTGCTGCTTGTCAATCGTTTCTTTTACGAAATATCATGGAGAAAATGGCAGCACGCTACGGGAGACTCTGAGCCGTTTGTAGGAGCTGGTTTTGATGGTGATTTCATAAAAGTGCGAATGGAGCTGAAAGGAATCGCAAGGTCTCGCCGAGTTGCTTCAGAGGATGGACGCGATGCCCTGGTCCGTGGTGGGATCCCAGCTCCAAGGCCAGCACACAGGTCACGGTCACGGAGCACGAAGGGCCCTTCGGCGGCAGCGCCTTGTCTGCTCGGGCCTGTGCGGCGAGGTTGGCGAAATGAATGGGCGGCCTTGCACTTGAGACGCTCGGCAGAGTGGTTTTTACCCGAACGGCGTGGGCTGGCGTTAGAATGCCCTCTTCGCAGGCTGTTGCAATCGTGTTGTAAGAGGGGAGTGGCTCTCCCCGGTGGAGATGGTCCTCTGTTTGGGATAGGTCCTTGTGCCCGGGGCTGCACTGGACCTGGCACCTGCTGGGGGATGGGTAAATGTCACCTCCCCTCTCTGGCCCTTTCTTTTCTGTTCCTTTCCTGGAATTCTGTTTTATTACTCTTGTCTCAGCAGGGAGCAGTTGTGTTGATGCTTTGACTACTGGAACACCATAGTCTGCCTTGCATTTCTGTCATTCATTTTTTTTTTTTAATCTTCCTTCTAGGAGTTAATTTTCTTGAAGGTCGGAATGGTCAGCTTGATGGTATTAAGCGTTTGATGAATTGTGTACAGTGGTACACAGAACGGTGAAAATAGGGCAGCCAGCTGCCCGCATATACTTAAAAATAAACAGATGTCTCATGCTTTCATCAGTCGGAGGATTAAACGTTGACAAGGATGGATGGGCACAGGCTGCTGCTGCCCAGCCTTGCTGGAGATTGGACTGAGACTCCCCCGCCGCCCCCCATCCAAACTGATTGGCTTGCATGTGCCTCCTTATTTTTATTGCCTAGAAATGGTACATAAATATATTGGCAATTGATTTAATTAAAGGGCATTATGTTGGTGACAAGTCTAATAAATTCTCATCAGCCGAATTATTTTGGTATTTTTATGAGCAGTTTCAACTGTGGAGTCTCATACTAATCCATAAGTGCATCATCTTATGAATTCTAAGCCAAATAAGCAACTTAAAATCATTCTTACTTATCCCATTAAGTCTGAGTTTAAATATGCATTTTCTAATACATGATGGGACAATTAAAATATAAATTCAGTGGGGGAGGGACAGTGTCTATGCCAGGAACACAGTAGGTACTTAATAAATACTGAATCAATGAAATTCTTGAAATATATAATGAAAGTGGTTAAGAATGTTAAAGATGAAACTATACCTGAAAAGAATCTTAAAAATCATCAAGTTTAGCCTTATCATTATATAGATGAGGATTTGAGGCCTAGACAGGTTAGTTATTCATAATTACAAAGCTAGCCATTATTTGATGAGGGAATCTAACATACCGTTTTTCCCCAAAAATAAGACATCCTTCGAAAATAAGACCTACTTACAGGTTTCCTTTTGAGTGAAAAATAAGGCCCCCCTAGGCTAAACATGAGAGATTTGGTCCACTGATTCTGAAAGAAATGGAGTCACAAGAAATTCACCAGGAAATTCAGGAATTGGATTGTTATGATGATGTTCCAGAAGATGATGACATGATTGTCATTGAATAAATGAGTAAATTCTTGATATTGTAGGATTCACAGTTTGGTTTGTGTTGACAACTACCGTACTACTGTATCGTATACAGGTAATAAATTTCCTTTATTTTCATTTAACAATAAATGTATACCATATTCTTCATGGAAAAATAAGACATCCCGTGAAAATAAGACCTAGCGCATCTTTGGGAGCAAAAATTAATATAAGACACTGTCTTATTTTTGGGGAAACAGGATAGATATCTGACCTTCAAGATCAGTGTTTCAGCAACATCACTACACTTAATATAGATTGACACAGTATTTAGTTACCAAAGAGTTACCCTTTCACAAGTCAGTGGACAATTCTGGATTCATGTTGTCTAGGGCTAAAGCTTAGTGGCTTAGGGAAGCTGTCACACTCTGCCACAGATTTTTCCAAAAGCAGTGACAGTGAAAGGTAGAGCTTTAATTAAACAATGATGTTAGATGAAGAAAAACAACAACAACAAAAGTTACTCTCATCTTTTAGAAGTTGCTATTTTTGAAAAAGTTTCTGGTTTCCCTCAGACTTGTTTGGCTGAACTTTTGTTGATGTAATTTAGCATTTATACTATTACAGTGAAAATCATATTAAGACCTTTAGAAACAGCAGATGCTTTCAAAAGGTAATTTTAATGCAGTATTTTTCTTTTTCCACTAGTGGAAAGTAATTTACTCCTCTAGCTGAGTGTAAGGCAATGGGAGAAAACTCTTTCAAACTATAGTTTGAAAAGCGTGGCCTAATATTTTTCAAAACTTATATAACTTGAGTATTAGATCCAGAGTGTCTTTAAAACACATTGTACATGTTTTATTTTCCCCATATTCTCCCCATGGATGTTTCTTTTTACTTTCATTTTTTGTTCTTTTAGTTCCTGTAACTTTTATGTGGCTATTTTGGCTTTGGTGGGTAGGTAGTCGATTGCTGAATTGGGGCTGATAGTAATATTGGACAATCTAAAGCTGTTTCAATTGTAGAAGAGTCCTAAACAGAGGAAACAGGTTTAGCTTGGAAGCAACTGAGGAAACCTGATACTCAGAGTTGAGACTGTGGAAGTTGAATGAAAGTTCTTGCTATTGATTGTGGGAACAGCCTTTACTGCTGTTGATATTTGATATTTGTTTATGTTGAAGTGAAACACTCTAAAAATGAGAAAACTGGAAAAGTTGTTTTGCCAGTGTTATTACCTTTGTCTCCGTTCTTCTGATTGCTTGAGAAGACCAAGAAGTGATTTCCCCTGACTTTATATCCGTGTGCCTCTTTGGCATTCTGTACTTCCCTACCCCTCTCAAATCAGCAGTGACAAATCAGGAAATAGGAAGGAAAGAGTACAAAAACAGAATTTGTCCAGTATTCTCTAGCTGTCTTGGTTAAGTTTGTTCTGTAGGCCCTTAAACCTCCCCCTGTTTTGGTAACATTTTGAACTTCTCAGCAATAATTGGGTTATTACAGTATTCCCTACTGAAATCAAGAAAGGCCACAAGAGTGGCAGAAAGCCATCCTAGATGGGCCTACAGAAAAATTAAAAAGATTCATTGATAAGTTTTTGTTTGTTTTGTTTTTAAGTTTGTATCTACACAAGAGAATGAGCTCAAGACTCAAAAGGAATGGTTGTTGAACATTAAATTGTAGACTTTTGTTTTTAAAAGAATATTGCAAGTTTTAATATATTTTATTGATTTTTAACAGAGAGAGAGAGCTAGAAACGTCGATGAGAGAGAAACATCGACCAGCTGCCTCCTGCACACCCCCTACTGGGGATGTGCCTGCAACCAAGGTACATGCCCTTGACCGGAATCGAACCCGGGACCTTTCAGTCCACAGACCAATGCTCTACCACTGAGCCAAACCGGCTTCGGCAACAAGTTTCTATTCTGAAAAATGTTTTAAAATAAGGGGGCTGAAGTATTAGATTATTAGTAAGAATTTTTAGATGTCTTTAAGAGGACCAATTTGAGCAATAACAACTATTACTACTTTTCAGAAGTTTGTCAACCTTTATGGATGAGGCCTAAAGAAAAGCTCCCTATTTCTCTCACTGCATTCAGTAATGGCTTTTCTCCCCTTGTAAAGTGTGTAGGGTGAGTCTTGGGTTGTATTGCCTGAGCCTCACAGTCTAAACAGCAGAAGGTGGAATGTTTGCACCCAGAGAGGTTATTTACTAATTTTAGAGTGGAGACTGCAGGAATACCATAAGTGGAGACCAAGAATGATATGAGTGAATGAGGGTTGTGTGTGTAAGAGAGAGCAAAAATAACCAAGGGGCATTCATCTCTTTATTTGATAAAATCCAAGAGTTGAAATCCTAAAAATAAAATTTGCTCTCCTGTGACCACAACTTTATTCAGTTACTCACAAATATTTATTGTGAATCTCTCATGGCCAAATAGCGTGCTCATACTAGGAATTTATTCAGTGGTGAACAGAATGTCTACCTTCATAGAGCTTACATTCTAGTGAAGGGCACTGGCAATTAACAAGCAAACACAAATAATATAGTTAGTGTAAGTACCATAAAGAAAATGAAGCTTCAAGAGAGAGTATCAATTTAGGGTCTAGTTAGGAGACAGAAGTCAATGCAGTTTTTTAACATGAAAAGTTTAATAGAATTGCTGACTATATTGGTGAATTGGTGAAGAAAAATCTAAAATACAGGAGTAACAGTT